ATCGTGTCATTTTTCATGTCGGGAGTTGGAGCCTTTTTTTCTGACTGACGGCCGGAATGCCGCCAAAAGGCTGATAACATCGACTGGTGAGTAAGTTAAGGTCACCTATATTAGTCGAAATAAACCTTAGTTAAACCGAGAAACACGTTGGTACGTTTGTACGTTCTGCTGCCATTTAATGCAAGTTAGCTCCTCTGGTGAGTCTTTATTTAACCTTAACAGCGAATTAACGTGAAATACTGAGGTAAAGTGCGTTAGGCAAACCACTGTTTCAGTGGAGATATTAAACAGTATTTTCTAGTACTTCTTTTGTTTGTTATTTTCAGATTTCTAGTCTGGATGTAGTCTGCAACGTCGGAGGTGTATTTTGGATAATACTATTTAAAATAACTGTTTTGTATTTGAATATATTTTAAAATGTAATTTATTCCTGTGATCAAAGCTGAATTTTAGGATCATTACTCCAGTCACATGATCCTTCAGAAATCATTCTAATATTCTGATTGGCTGCTCAGAAAACTATTATTATTATTATTATTATTGTTTTTATTATGTTGAAAACAACTGAGTAGAATTTTTTCATGTTTCTTTGATAAATAGAAAGTTCAGAAGAACAGCATTTATCTGAAATAGAAATCTTTTGTATGGTAAAAATCATGGTTTACAGTGCAGTACCACAATTGGATTGTTTTTTACAGGTACATTTTTTTTAAACTAAATGAAAATAAACTCTACAGTACTGATACTGTAAATGAAAATACTGTAATAATACTGTAAATAAAATACAGTAAAGACATTGTTGTACTGTAAATGCAATTACAGTACTGATACTGTAAATGAAAGTACAGTACTAATACTGTAAATAAAATACCATAAAGACATTATTGTACTGTAAATGCAATTACAGTACTAATACTGTAAACATTTTTACAGTAAATTACTGGCATCCAGCTGCCAGTAAGTTACTGTAAAATTTACAGCAACCTATTTACAGTGTATCATTTACTAGAATCTCTGAGGCACAGAAACCCTTGATATTCAGTCAGGAGGATCAAATGGGAGAACAAAGAGAGAAAGAAAGACAGAAAGCACAGGGAATGGAAAACAGATTGAAGGAGCATTCCACTACTCATTTGTTTGCCTGTTCTCTCAGTGGTGCAGAAAATAGAGGGCAGGTGATAATGACAGTTGACCATAAGAAATGTAGGGAGCAGCAAATGAAGAGAGACCAAGTGATCTCAGTGTAATTGCTCGGCATTTTCACTGGCTCAAGGCAATCATGCCCAATGTAGTACAACATGCCAATGTGCACGGCTACCGCTCCATTCAAATGCTATATGTCTGCATGGGCTATAAGGTAAGTTTGAGACTTGGTGTCAGTCGGCCAATTTGGTAGGAACTTTCTACTGAAAAAAGAGCATGTCTATTTACATACTAAAAAATTATATGAGTGTGCCATGTGCTTTACGTACATATTCTGCAAAACACTCCAGATCTCTTGTGGACCAGTCATGCCTGTTCGTGTGTTGGTAGTTCTCCAGCTAGTCCTTTTTTGCCATGAGACACAACCTGGTCACTGCACTCATTCCCTTGCCATCTGTCTGCAGCTGAAAACACTCGCTCTCCATACGGTAGCACGCTGGTAGAAGCCCCATCCCCAGCTTCCAGGCAAATGCTTTGAAGAGTGAATAAGGCAAGCTCAATTGGCTGATGTGACTGTTTTATCAGAGTGTGCTGGTACTGAGAGATGTGCGTCCTGAACTAAGGGGAGAATAGTGGGGGGGATTGCTGCAAGAATGAAAACCATTTCTAATCGCAGAACAGCACGGCATTTGGCAAGTAGGTATAACAAACAGGACAAAAACAGGTCTGTTGCCCATCAGCTTTGTTCTTAAGTTTCTGAACTTTTCCCATAAAAGGATCTTTATGAGAAGCAGCGGTCATGCCCTTGCAACATCAGCTGACTGAAGCACAAGCCTCAAAGGAGAGCTGGTCACTAACATGAGCTCGCGCGAACTGGCCGCCTCTCTGTCTTTCATTCTCTGTTGGTGTGCATCTTTTCATCTGGCCGATTTCTACAGCATTCCATTAATATGATTGGATGAAAGCTGAATGAATGCAACCAAGCATATCTGACCGGCACCAAATGGGACACTGGTCACCCAAGCATGTTTAAGTTTTATAACATTTCTCAAGACATTTAATCTCCAAATGGACATAAGTTTGTTAGAATCATTTTCTACAGCAAAACGGTCAAACATCTTGTTGAAAAATCTACTTCAGAACAATTTCTTTGATGACCAAAGTCAGTTTTAACAGAGATTAAAGCAATAAATCCTACTTATCAATCCTCATGAGACTCATTTGTAACTCTGAATAAAAATAATACTATCAATAATATTATCGGTAATCATAATAGTAATTATAATAATTATTATAAACGTCACATATCAAATTATATTATTAATATTATATTTATAAGAAGAAGAAAGCATTATTATTATAAACGTCACATATCAAATTATGCAATTAATAGTATATTATAATAAGAAAAAAGAAAGCACGATTATTATTATTATTATTATTATTATCCCAAATACCTGATTCAGCTAGAATGTCATTGGGACAGGTCAGGAGCAAGAGGTCAAATGCTTGAATGAGACAAATTGCTCTTATTTTACAAGGTCAAGATAAAGATTATTTGTTTTTTATATTTATTTTTTAAAAAGAGAGATTTCTATCTGCTATGATTATTTCACATTAGTATTTCATTAATCTTTGCAATTAGACCAAGGCAACAATGCCAATAATTTACTCACCACTCGTGCTCATGATGCTGAGACAATAATCCAAGAGTAAAATTTAATATCCAGACAGCAGCAGTCGCCTTTTGTTCCACCGATAAAATCCAGTTATTGAGCCTCAGCTTGAAGTCTGAGTCGAACCGTTAGAGTGGAATAGAAACTCGAGGAATAATTAATACAAATTATAAAGCTTCCAACGTTATCCCCGAATCACAGGAGGGCAGTGATCACTTGATTAAAATAATGGTAAAGGTGGGTTTAAAGTACTGCACCCCGTGAGTGCTGGGCGGACGACCGGCCTCAAATAACGCGGGATGTTGCCTAGTCACATTCCATGATCTGCTGCCGTTTCTCGCGTAGAGCCTGAGATAGAGCTGAGCCGCGCTCAGTGTTGCGTACAGTGGACGAGGCGCTGTCACTGTACTCTCGCGCTCGCATCTATGGAAGCGCTCGCCGGGGTGACGTCAGGCAGTGGACAGAGCAGCGTGTTTCCTCACAACACATCTACTCTGCACGCGCGCAGCGCTGGAAGCGGACTCGTTGATTATAATGGCAGCGCTGTGTTTTTGTCTTGTCGCTTGCGGCGGATTTGAGGTGTGAGGTCATGCGGGGGGAAAGTTGAAGGGTAGGGTGGGTTTTCGCAGATTACGGCATTTACTGTATATAGATGTATAGCGCCCTCTTATGCAGAGTTAGAAAAAACACAGTGTAAATACAGCAGACAAAATTGGCTTAATTCAGGAACCTGCCAACCAACAAAAGCTTCTTACTATGACATTAACCCGTTTAGAGCCGAATAATGTTACAGAAAAATAAAAATGACAATTTCTACAATATAACTGCAGCTACAAATGATAATCAATATGAAGTGCAGTTCAATAATGTTTAATCGTTATATAACGGCTAAATAAAATAATAAAAATAAAAGATATAGTGTAGCCAAAAACAGCTAAAATAAACAAAACATGGAAATAACTATGAATGTAGTTTAAATAAATAAATGGAGGCTAATAGTCAGAATTGCCCTGTGCCTGGGTCAAAAATATGATTTTAGGACAAAAATGAACCAAAGTGTGACATGATGCTCATACATTGTTTAAGCAGCATCTAAACTAATAATACATCATAAATTGGTGATTAAATGATTAATGATTAAAGCCTATTGACACATTAACAATATTAACCTATTCTTATAAACAGCTATATGGACAGTGTTTGTAATCTTTTCTATTTGGTGAATGGTAGAAAACATTTGGAAATATTTTTGCTTTTTTAATTTTTATTTTTAATTTTTTTTTTTTAAGCCATACAAAAGCTGAAAAAACCCTACCCTAAAAAATATTCACTAGAGAATTTCAAAATGTTTTATAAATAAATAAAATAAAGATGACATGCTCACTTACTGATTCCTGAGAGTTTTCCCCTACACTGAATAGTTTTTGAAATTATTTGTTACTGAAGTACTCTCAAATCAAGGTCAGTGGAGAAAACCTCTTACCTGGCAGTTTCCCATGTATTTTACTCTTGACGTACACTAGTAGTCACTCTTTCATCACTTTACATCTCAGAGGTTTGTGCTTATTGCACAACCTCACAAAATCCTCACAAAATTTCACATTCCTTTGTGAAAGAAAAAATACTTTCAGTCTGAATACACTGTAGCCCACAAAGAAATAAAAGACTTTACACCAGTGCCATTTAGAAAAGTAATAAATCACGTTCACGAGTTCACTGTTTGTTCAGCACAATACATACTCAGACCCATGAACTGCACCTTGGTTAATGTGTTTTATTTATTTCTTTTTTTTAAATCTGAATAAAAAAGCCCCGGCCCGTGGGGAGGCAGACAGGCAGGTGGTTTTAACAGGAAGTCTCTTATTTTCAAGTTGTTCTCTTTTGTGTGTCCTAACCTAAAGGCTCTGCGTGTTAGGCTACAAGTATTTTACTGTCATGTGTACATAGAAACAAAGGCATAGAGGAAACGGCACAATGGAGGGATGTGACAGGCGCCTCGCACACTCTACGTTTCTTCCTCTCTCAGTCTGTCTGTCTCACTCCATTTGCTCTCTTTGCCTGACCATGCAGTGCTCTCGTTCTGACAGTCAGATATTCTGACAGGGCCATAAGGTTAGTGTCTGAGACAGACAGTGCAAGCAGTCAGCATTGTTCTGCCTGTCATAGCATCAGCACTTCTACACTGCCCTCCCATCTGTATGAGATGAGTACTTCCTAGATATGTAGTTTTTCAATTTTAAACATAACATTTACTTTTTAAGTCTATTCTGATCACCTGTTAAAATGCAGGTCAAATTCCTAGACAGATATCAGTTATTTGTTAGGCATGTGCTGTTTATTACATTAAAATGAAGTAATTAAAGAGCATAATTAAACTGACTGACTCACCCTACATAATTGGGGATCATTTTGAGGTATATTATATTCGCAGATGTTTGTCACAGAATTTTATAACCTGCACAGCTTTGATTTTACAGCCTGCATATCTTTACTGGAGTGTGCACACAATGTAATCTGTACCAGGAATATGTGTGTTGTGTGTTTTCAGCGGATATCGTGGGCTGTACTGCTTGTCAGAGCACTGGATTTACCATTGTACTGAAATATATGACAGAGTCTACAACAACAGGAAGTTGCTCTTCCTTAGGACACTGGTATAAAGGGGCATCGGAACGCAGTGCCTCCCTGAACTACCCCCACTGTGAGCTGCCCTCAGGTACATTCACTAGCCAGAGCCTTATTAACCTGTTATTAGTTTTTGCTACACTAAATGCAGTTTGTATGAAGGGTCTTTTAAAGGGCTAGATCACCCAAAATGGAAAGTTCTGTCCTTCCCCTGTTCTATGTCGTTCCAAACCCGCATGATTGTCTTTCACCTGAAACAATCTATTTAAAATCTAGAAAAATCTTAAATACATTTTTACATTTTTCAAAGTGGTTATTTATTTATTTGTTAGGTAGGTACAGTGCACATTAATAAACGTTACTGTAAATGTGACAGAATTATTGGCAAAGTAGTAGTTCCTGAACAGAATATTACAATGTCACTCTAAAAACAAAATACAAAACTCAACTTAAATTAAAATTTAAACCAAAAACCATTATAACCAGATTGAGTCAGTGCATTTAACTCAGGACCCAGATCTGTCTGATTTGTTAAGTGAATCGTTTAGTCCAATTTGTGGATCAATCAGTTTATTGGAAAAAAAAAATATATATATATATATATATATTCTTATTTGATCATGGCTCCCGAGTTCAAATCACTGACTCTATTTTTGATTTTTAGGCAAACTATTCTTTAAACTAAAAATATGAAGTAAACTCTGATTACTAAAGTACACATTATGTATATATTAAACACAAACTGACAATATTTAAGTCTTATTTACTGATGATGCCAGGCAAAAGGGAGCTGTTATTCAAATTTCAAAACAAAGTCAGCGAGTTGAACTTGGGAATCGAATCAGTCCCATTTGTGGATCAACCAGTTTGTTGAAAAAAAAAATTGTTCATGACTCCCAAGTTCAAATCACTGACACGTTTAAGTCGTTATTTAAATATTTTTGATAATATTAGCCCAAGAGTTACACTGAGTCAGGGAGTTGAACTTGAGAACCTGATCAGTCAGATTCGGAAATTAATCATTTTGTCCATTTTGCAGATGAAAATAAAATGACAGTTCATTCATGGTTCTTAAGTTTAACTCACTAACTCAATAACTGAGTCTTTTGGATTGACTATTCATGTAATTTACAAAATCGATGTACACACTGTCATGTATATGCTAACAACAAAAAGCAAAAGCATTCCAAAAAGCTTTGAAACACATGCTGTGGAGGCCATCAGCTGCTTGTCTTGTGTGCCAAGTTAATGCTGTGACTATGGTTTGGGCACATGGCCTGATGGCTCCACCAGTGTCGGGGTTTTGATTCTCTATCATTGATGTGGTATGTAATCCATTTACCCAGACCATCTGAGACCTGTGGCAGGAATTAACTACACCGTAGTGCACATACTGCCTTCTTTCACAGCCCAGGCAGCCAGTCACATGTCCTACCCCATATATCATCTCAGGGTGACTTTTGTAATAGCTCAACAAGAGCCTGTAGAACCTGGAGTCTGTTCCAGGGTTTATATTTAACCAAGAGAGAAAAGCAAGAAATGACTAGCTGAGCCAAGGCCCAGTCTGTTATCTGACCTACTGACGAGATAAAACCAAAGGAGAAGCATAGGAAATTCTTGGAAACATAAATAATAATGATTTAAAGAAAAAAAGCACAATTTTAAAGATTTTTACATGCTTTCTTCACTCAAAGCATGATGGGAATGCACACACATACACACACACACACACACACATGTGTCTGGATATGCTGTAGAAAGCACCTTTGGAATGTGAGCAAGAGGGCGTATTTTACTGTAATGAAGTTGATAGGGACTCTAGAGGCATTTTGTTGTGTTCTATGAAAAACAAGTCAGACCAGATGGATTACTCTTTTTTTTCCATCAAAATTCCATTCCTTTTTGTTGATTTTCAAAGAAAAGACAACTGGTTGGATTCATGAGTCTGATTAGATGAGAAATATAAAGATATTCTGTATTTGCTGAGTCATGATTTAAGAGTGTTTGTTTGAAGGTTATCTACCACCTTATTAACTGACTGAAGAACTTCTGAGCTGACCTAGAGTCCAACAGAACAGGGGAGTGAGAGGGCCGGGCTCAAAGAGAGAGAGAAAAAGAGAAACTGAGAGAACGAAAAAGCAGCATATCATTTAGGGGAGGAGTTTACATACTTCCTTCAGCAAAAGCTCTAAACTCATGCCACAAGGACACACACATACATACACACCCCTTGCCCTACAGGAGCATTACAGACTATGATGGTTAGTTTTAGTCAGTTTGAAAGGAAATTTTCGCCAACTCCACAGAGCAGATACTGACAGATCTATGCGGAACAAACACACAGCCGGGTGTCAGCAGGACAGAGGTATGCTCTCTCTCTCTCTCTCTCTCTCTCTCTCTCTCTCTCTCTCTCAGAGACTATAGTGTGTGTGAGTGACTGTGTACTCAGCTGAAATTGCTGTGTTAATATATATCAACCTTTGAATGGAAGTAGGACAAGTGGTTGACTTATAGTGTGTTTACTTTTTAACTAGTTGTTGAGACCCCTAGTTATCTCTACATATCTTTTACATAGTATACTTGTATTAAAATGTAGATCATTTTTTTTCTCTAACAATATATCAGGTTTTTTCACTAACTATAGGTTCTAAGAACTTGTTATTCACCTAGTTTAATAGTATCAGCATGGGCTTAGGCGACATTCTAAACTTAGAGTCTAAACTCTTTACTCGTGTTACAAATCTACCCCGTTCTTTTCACTGACATCCACACACTGAGCCAGTAACCCAGAGAGACACAGCTAACTCCACTGTCCCAGGTGCATGGGACACTTCAACTTCTTTGTATTGCGTTCAATAGACAATGTGCTGCCAAGCTACAACAGTTTAAGCTACTTTCACAACATTGGGTG